TTTGAGACAGGTCTCTCTAAGTTGCTGAGAGTCTCCTAAGTTGCTAAGGCTGGCCTCAAACTTGCCTTCTTCCTGCCTCAGCCTCCCAAGTCACTGGAATTATAGGCATATGCCACCACACCCGGCTCCAACCTTTTATCTTGGGCAAATTACTTAATCACCCTGGGCCTCAGTTCCTTCATCTGTAAAATGGGAACAATAATCCAGTTGTGTGACTGTTTTAAGAATTAAGATGACTATGCAAAGCTCTTAATACAGTTCAAGACATATAACAGGCTCTAAAAATAGCCATTGTGATTAATAAGATGTGGAATATGATGGGTTGATTTAGTGGAGGAAAATGGGTAAAAATCAAAATAAAAAGAGAGCACAGAATTTCTCTATGGAGGAGGATGGCTTCTCCTTTAGACATAAGAACTTAAACTGTTAAAGACTCTGCCACTGAATGGCAAAGAACATCCCCAAACTCTGCAAATATTCCTATCCATCTGCAGCAGGCTGGGATGTGGGGGTATGCAGGTGATGCTCTGCCAAGATGGGTCAGAAATTCAGAGAAGAGAATACATTCATGATCAATTACTAGGTAGGGTGCCAAGCTCTTTACTTGTGTTATCTTGCTTGACAAACCATATAAGGAGGTGGTAATAACCATACTTTTTAATGGAAACATAGGTTCAGACTGGTTAAGTAACTTGTCAAGGTCACAGAGCTTAATTATGGCAGCACTAGGATTTGAACCCAGGTCTCTATTATTCTGTTATACTTGGAGAGACTTTGTATGACTTCTAAAAGAGGGCACTCAGGTACCTACCACCTGTCTTCTGCTTTACAACATCTCCACCTACCTACCCACCCACCTACCCACAGGCCAAGACTGCATGGGGTGAACTGACAGCAGGCCCCAGCATGTGCCATCTGGGGCATGCCAGGGCCTGGACCCTCTGATGCCCTGGAGGGCAATCATGCTGCCAGTACACTTCCACCTGGAGCCTGGCAGACACTCCCACTCCCACTCCCCTCCTCGACCTGTACCTGGGTGGCAGGACTGTGAGCCCCTCCTCAGGAGGTGCTGGGCACAGCCTCATTCTTCCTGGGCTGTTGCAGACCTGAGGAGAGGCCAGATTGGTACCGGGAAGGCAGGCCCCAGCCTCCAGAGCAGTGGAGTGCTCAGGCTTGCCTGGAGCTGCCAGTTCTCTGCCCCAGGGACCCAGGCAGGTGGCAGCAGAGACCCAAGGGCAGCCGGCCCCTCTGACCTCTCGTCGCCACTTTCCAAGCGTCCTTCCCTTTGCTTGGGAAACCCGCGGAAAGCTTTGGGACAGTCTGCCCTGGGCGGTTAAGACAGCCAGGAGGGACAAAGCGCACCCCCTCCCCCCAACAGGGCCTTTGCCCCACTCCGGGTTCCGTGTCTCAGTCTTTTCCCCATCGCACCCTCCAACGCAGGCCCGAGCGGCTCATGAATGAACTGCCCTGTGTGGGGCGCAAGGAGAGGACACGCTCCCCGGGCCAGTCGCCTCTGCCTCTCCGGCCCGCCGATCAGTCCCCAGAAGGGCCGGGGGCAGCAGCCGGCCTCGTGCCAGCACCCACGAACCCTGCCCTTGCCTGAGCCCAAAACCCTGCTCTGGGCCAGCCTCTTGTATACACTGGCCCCGGAACAAGAGAAAAGATAAAAGAAACCGAGGACATCAGACTTGGCGACCCCGGAATCCAAAACTCAGGGGCGGGGGCGGCTGGTTCCCCACAGCGGCGGCGGGCTGGTGGGGCGCAGCTGGAACCCCGGCGGGGCGCGCAGGGGACGAGCACCTGGTCCGGGCAGATGGGATAAGAGTGGCACTAGGGGGCCGGGACAGGGGTCCCACCCCTTGGGATCTCCCAGGGCCTGGGGTCAGAAGGCGGTGCACATCTGGACCCCGGACAGGGGTCGGAGGATTCACCTTTGGCTAGGGATGGTGCGGGGTTTGGGGGCAGTGAGCGCCACCACTGGGTCCCGCGGGCCCGGGCACCTCTGGGTCCCGCAGGAGGTTGAAGGGAGGGGACGCGCATCTGAGTCCTGGTTTTTTCTTGGGTGGTGGTGGGATCTTCCAAGCAAAGAGAGGGGGCTGGGGAGGGTCGCGTACTCACCCCCAGG